TTGGGTAAATATAATGGTGTCCATGTTTTCACTGGTCAGAGATTGGAAGAATGAATAGAAGGAAGAATGAGCTACACAGGCAGTCTGAGGAAGATGTTTTGGAAGACCACTAGTAGACATTCCATGGAGATTGAAAATACTTGTTGGTACTTTGGTCAGATGTCCACCTGGAATTTCACATATATAATAATGCCAGCTATAGCAGACCCCTTCCAAGACTAGTGCTAAAATAGACTCTGCACTGTGAATTTCTCTTGGCTAAATATGTAAATAATACACCAACAATAACTCAGCTTTTGGGAGGAGGCACAACTTTGATGCTGGTCTTATTTGGAATGGAAGTAGCCCTGCTGAAACTGATGAAAAACCAGTACTATTTGAACCTGGCCTAAAACATGCCCTCATCTCCCTCTGGCTGACAGGAATGGTGACCACTTCCACTGTGTGGCACCTGCACCATTAAACATCTCCACAGTTAAGGGCAGCAGAGCTGTTTTATGGGCATGGATCCAGCAAAGAGTGCTTGAAACACATCAGGAGCATTGCTGACTTCATTAAGATTCTGCATGTTTAAACAACTGCTTGAGAGCCCTGGTGGATGAAGCTTTACATATCTAATACAGAGTCCTGAAGGTCAAGGCTTGCCTCTGAAACTGACTTTATTTGGTTTAAGCCATCCATCACATTGAAATAATGCTGTTGTTGGGTAGGAGACACGACTATTTTTATGGCTGTGTGTAATATTTTCCACTGTCACCAAAGTTCTTTTCTGCGTGATAAATGTGTAGATTTCCTGCTTTCCTGGGCCTGAAGGAGCAGAGGAGGGATGGTGGGATGCGGTGCCTTCTCCCTGTTTGTACAAGCAGTGCTGGTGGAAGCGGGGAAGTGCCCGGGATGGAAACTGGCAGCACTCAGGCTGCAGATGCCCTCTGGCAGGAGGCACATCAGCAGGCTGATGCAGAACAGGAATTTCTTGTTTACACAACTTACCATCTGCATGGAATTGGCTCCATCTTCCCATCTGTGTGTGGAAATGGGAATGCTGCACCTGCTTAACTCATTGTAGCCTTTGGAGAAACCAAAGTCTTCTTCCTCTTCTGACAACACCTTTCTCTTGCCTGGAAGAACTGCTGTCACCTGGGCCTGCATGACACAGTGGTAACCACTTAGTGCTAGAAAGATCAAGGGAATTAGGCTATAAATGGAAATGGAGGACTGATTATGTGTTGTAACTTGCTGAAGATTTACTGTGAGAAGTTTCATAGAATCATAGAATGTCCTGAACTGAAAAGGAACCACAAGGATCATCCAGTCCAACTCCTGGCTCTGCACAGGACAGCCCAAGAATTACCATGTGCCCTGAGAGTGCTGTCCAAACACTTCTTGAGCTCTGTCTGGCTTTGTGCTGTGACCACTGCCTGGGGGAGCCTGTTCAGTGCCCAGCCACCCTCTGGGGGAAGAATCTCTTTCTGAAATCCAGCCTAAACCTCCCCCGACCTAGCTCTGTAATTGCTTTAGATCTTCCTACTATTGTGGCACCCAAAGCTGCCCCAGCCCAGAGCAGAGTGGGACAATTCCCACTCCGGGCCGGGCTGGCCATGCTGGGCCTGGTGCCCCCTGGACAGGGATGTACCTGCAGGCTGCCAAGGCACAGCCAGGTGCCATATTAAACATGCCTTGTCTCTCCCTGAGGATACAAAAATGACCATTATAATTGTTTCAGTGATGATATCTTCCTCAGTTCACACGCGAATGCTGCAGTCCTAGCAAAGGCCTGTGCAATCCTCTGATGGCTTCACAAGGAAATTTAATCCACAGGATGGAAAGGACCATGGAGCAGTGTCTCCAGGTGAAGCCACACTTTGCCTAGCTACTGTTTTTTCCAAGTCAGCAGAGACAGAGGGAACTGTAAAGCGTGAATGCGTGGTGCATCCTCTGTTAACGGAACTGGAACTTCTTCCATTTGGTCTCATATCTTTGTTTGCAGGGTGCAAGTTATGAAATTTGCCTGCTCTTAAACCAGTTGAAACAGCTCAGTTGTTTATCCCCTTCAGACAGGCACAGTTCTAAAACACCTGCACACATCTTCTCTGAGGCAAACACGGCGGCACTGAGAGTTCCCTCAGCAAAACTCTTCCCACTGCCTGCATCTGTGTGACATAGGAAGGCAGAGGGGACAAGTAATCATTCTCCACTCCACATCTAGATGAAGCAAACTTTTCTTTCTTTTCCTTACACCCGCGCTTCAAGACCTGAAACACTGTCACAGCTCCAGTGTTCTCCAGTGTCCTGAAATGCAAGAAAGGTATTTTCTTAAACAGTTTCCTTGTGGCCTTCCAGTGCCTGAAGGGAACCTCCAAAAAAGATGGAGCTCTCTCTTGACAAGGGTCTGGAGTGACAGGATAAGGGGCAATGGCTTCACAGTGACAGAGAGCAGGTTTAGATTGGATGTTGGGAAGAAATTCTTCCCTGTGAGGGTGCTGAGGCCCTGGCACAGGTTGGCCAGAGCAGCTGTGGCTGCCCCATCCCTGGCAGTGTCCAAGACCAGGTTGAATGAGGTTCTGAGCAACCTGGGCTAGTGGAAGTTGTCCCATGGCAGGGGCATGGAACTGGATGAACTTTAAGATCGCTTCCAGTCCAAATAATTCTGTGATTTTATGATTTTCTGAAGTGCAGAGTAGCAGTGATACAACAATCATGTGGTGCAGGTGGTGTCCCTGTGCATGCCTTCGCCAAGCCCTTTAGCCCTGTTCAGCATCAGCCTGAGCTGTCTGTGTAGCGAAGGACCTTGGAGTTATGAGAAAATCTTTATCCCTTGTTTTCTTCTCCAGCTGCAAGGCTGATTAACTTTTTTATGGCAACAGTTTCTCTACCACTTTTTGAAATATATGTAGACCTTGATGCACTCAGCTTTCTCTCAGGTCATTTCATGTTCTTATTCCCACTGAGCTCTTACACTAGACAGAAATGCCCTGAAGAACAGGAGGCAAATCAAAGTACATCCTGCTTGCTTTGGATCCAAGGGCTCCCAGCATTTGAATTGTTGAAAACACTTAGGGTTTTGTAGATTTTGGTTTTCCTTTGTGGTGGGGGCATGTATTGTACTTTATTATTATGTTACTGTTTGAAGAAATACATGATTTTAAGCCATGGAAATTTTCTGTGGAAAACTTGGATTAAAATCCCAGTCGAGTTTACATGTTTAACTGCCTTACCCTTGGTGGTTGGAAATGAATCAAAGAAACAATGGAATTTGGTTCACCCTATGGATATGCCTCTGTACCCACCAAATCTCACAGATACCCAAATGTGATCCCATGTAATTCTCCATTCAGTTTTGCAGGGACACAAAAGATGAGCTCAACCCACTGTAGAGCAAATACTGGTGACGAAAAAATGTTTCTCTTTGAAGGGAATAAAGGGATATTTTGCAATATACCTGTGCAAACCTATGGGAAGTCAGGATAAATCCTGTGAAAAGTGAGAGCTGGTCACAAAATCCTCATGCCCATACAGCTTAACAAGCCAGCACAATCTTTGTGGATTTTTTCCTCAGCTTAAAAAAAAAACCTGCTAGAGGTTTCTTACACTGGCAGAGCTTTTTTACCCATAGTGGGAGTTTGTTTACTTTTACACATTGGTAGAAGGTGTGAAAGAGGTTTTGTGGAAGAGTTGCTGGTAGTGAGGTAATTCCAGGCAGAGTGGAAACGTGACAGTCCTGTGCCTGATGTCAGCCCTGGATTCACAGCTGCACAGTGCCTGGGCTTCCCACACCTACACCAGAGGTCTCCTGTTCCTAATCCTTTTGCTCCCCCACCCCTCAGACTCACTCCTGAGCATCTCCCAGTTTCCCAAGCAGAATAAGAAATGGGAAGCACAGCTTGGGATTCCTGCAGCTGCTCCCCTGTGCTCATCACTCCTTCCCTTCCAGCCAGAGAAAAAGGGCAGTTCCACACCCCTACTCCTGTTACAGCCCCCAGCAGCAGAGATTTGGGGTTCATTTTACTTTGTTGGGTGCCAAATCTGCCACATCTTGCAGTGGAATTTGAAGGATTTGGGGCTGATATGAGTGATAATATTCCCTGATAATGCTGGAGAGCAGCAAGCAATGAGCCCAGATTGACTGAGGCGATGTTTGGTTTCAGGGGACTGGCCACACTCTGCTGTTGTGGTCTGAGAGTCTGATCTTCTCTTCTTGCAATGAGAAGGCAGTTTGTGTGTGCTATTTACTTCCCCCTCATGCTCTAGCAGACCAGAAAACCTTTGGAAGTGCACCAAGAGCGTGTGCGTGTACTAGAGGACCAACCCAGCTGTGGGACTAAATATTCCACAGGCAGCACCTTGGGTGAAAGGCAAGAGACAAGGTCCTTTGCAGCAGGTTCTAAGGCTAACTGGGAGCTAGGATGGGAACCTAAGTAAAGCTCTTCTCCCTTGTGTCCTGAATTCTTCCCTGATTTTAGGTAGTCATGCCTGTACCTCATCAGTCTTTGGCAGCTGTTTGAGGCTGAGCTGAGGGATGCAGGGAAAGGAAAATATTCCTTTTTGTACCCGATAATGAATGAATGAGCTGCTGTCAGCTGAATCCAAACAGCTTCTGGAACTGTGGGTCAATTCCTTGCCACCCTGAATGAACTTCCTCCTGTTGGAATCTCAGATGTTGGCCTTGGTCAATGAAATTCAGTAACTCGAGTTCATTTTCCTGTTTGGTCTTCTGAGCTTGCATGGAAATGGTTTTACTGTTTTCCTATTATTTCCTAGAAATTTAGTAGTACTTTTATTCTCTCCCTATAGCATTAAACTAACTCCTCTTTCTGCTCTTTGGGTAATCATTTTGCCCTAGCCATATTCCCTATTCCATATTCTGCCAAAATCCAGAAACTTCCTATTAAAAAAAAAAAGCACAGCTTTAATTTCTTTTTTTAATTTCTAGTTTGCATTAGGGGTAAGACGATGGAGAGAGGGAAGTGCCAGTGGTTGAATTCATGATTTTGTTTTGACAGGCATCATCCTGAAAGAAAGTGTACACAGGAGCTTGTGGTGGAAAAGAATCCAAGCAGCCAGACACTGAGACCAAAGAAAGATTCTGAACAAAGTGTGAGGTACAAAGTTTGTTCTCTTAAAAAATTAGACACCCTTTCTCTATCCTACTGAGAATCCACTACCAGAAATGTAATGAATATACTCTTCCACCTGAGGAGGTCCCATGGATTTACTTTTCCCTAGTAAGAAGAATCTTCGTGCTCTTTATTCCCAGTCATATAGTTAAATTAATGTGTATGTCTTTTTCTGCTTTACATTAAACTGTTCTTTCTAAACTTCGCTTTGCAAAGGAGTTGTTTTTACATCATCTTTTCACCCTGTTATCCTGTGTCTGCTGCACAGCAGCCTTTCTTTGACTTTAATGTGTTTTAAGCAAGTCTTTGATAAGCCAGAATAGCAGCTGTGAAGGGATTTGTGTTTTTCCTTCTGCAGCACAAACCAAAAGTCAGAGAAGCAGCCCAAAGGAGAACAGTTGTGCTCAGTGCAGAGACAAAATACCTCAACAAACAAATAGAAAAATAAGTGGCAGCTCAAGAATTTCAGCCAACTTTCACTACTCTCCAGAGTGGTTACAAATCAGCTGGAAAAATACTGCCAAACATTGTCATCCCTGTTGGTGACAGATATGCTGAGCACAGGTCATTTACAAATTTTCCTTTGTTTGTACAACTTAGGGGCATTTGCTGAATTGATTTTAACTTCTTTTTCTTTTTTCTCTTTACCTACTGGCAGTAATTCACAAATAGCTTTAGATCCAGGCAGCAGTAAGATAAGGTAATTTATCACTGTTTTAAACTAACACCATGCTTGGACTGATGACATTGAGGAATGCATGGAGAAGTAGTGGCTTTCATTAGGCCAGATGATAAAATTGTAAAACACAGGCAAGCTCTCTGTCACACACAAGTCCCTTCATCACACTGAGTGCTCAGTTTATTTTCATGTTCCTCCCATGTAATACCACTGCAAATCTGCAGAAATCAATAGAGTTGCATTAGCATAAAATTAGGGAGCCCCAGCAGTAAATCATGCCATGAGTTGTTGTTGATGAGCTCCAAAGCAGAGCTTTATTTCCTGCAAAGGTCAGGGTGATGGACTGTGCAACAAATTTTACCTCCTCTGCTACATGTTTATTGCTAAATGGTCTTTCACAAAGCAACAAAATAGGACATATCTTACCCTTCCCCACAAGCTGGAGGTTTTCTCAATTCAGTAAGATAAAAGCGAGGCCCTCCATCCTGCCAGTTTTGGCAACCAGGCTGTGTCTGTTACGTTAAACTTGTGTGTGTCTGGGAGCATCCCTGGGAGCTGGAATGTCACTGCCTGTGCTAGGAAAGAACTGGCATGGAACTGACCTTTCCTAACTAGTCCTAACTCCAGTCTGCAGGCAGTCATCTCCTGTTTAGGAGCAGTCTATCAGATCTGGGCCCTTCTTTAGCTCCTTTGAGCACAGAGCCCCAGACACTGATCAGGTGGGAAGTTTGGGTGCTCATGTCACCCATGTCCCTTCCCTGCCTTGAAGCAGAGCTATCCCTTTCTGCCAAGAGATCCATCCCTGCCTGATGGATAGCAACACTTCAGTTTTACATTCCTTGCTAAGTTAAAGATGATTTCAGCAAGCTGGCAGATGAGGAAGCAGTGATAGGAATATGCACAACCCGTTTGCTCTAAGAATTTTGTGGTTTTGAAGGCATTTAGCTGGTGGAAGCTTTGAAGAGAACCAGTGTTTACTGAAGCCAGCAGCCAGGGACACCTGTATTTGTGGGAACGAGCAGAAAAGTGAGATCTGACAGGCTTGAAGTCACACTGAGGACTACAGTGGCCAAGCAAAAACTACCTGGGATGGCTATGTGAACATAAGCAAGAATGAAGCTTTGAGATTTCACATCATAAATTCTCTGACCTGGAGCAAACAGCAAGCATAAAAAGGGGGTGACAAACTGAAGGAGAGTAAAGGATTGGGAAGAAAGTCCAGAGACACCATGAAACTCAAAAGTTCACCCCATCTGCCACATAATGTCCACTCCTACCTCTGCATGTGGACTTCTTGTGGAACAGTGAGCCCAAGCTCCTGGACTCCTTGAAGAGTGCCTGTAGTTGATAAGCCAAGACCTCTGTTGTGAGGCCTGAGAACATAATATTCATGTTTCTTTACAGTGGGTGTTTTATTTTTACAAAATCCTTTCCCGATCCTTAAGAACTTTATAAGACAGAGCTTGGGATTGTTAGTCTATGGAAATTGCTCCTGTAAGCCTGACCTCAAGCCTTATGACTGTCCAAACCAAATATAAACCCCATTAATTTTATTTTTTTAAATTTTTTTTTCCTCAGCCACAGGAGTACTCAGAAGCCCAGACCAGTAGGCCCTGGAATCCAGGCTGAAAATACAGCAGACCATTCAGACTGCTTCCTTGAGAGGTCACAGAGAAGATAGAAATCTTTTAATTTGCATTTTAAATATTTGTACAGAGTAAAAGAATATTTACACTGAAAAACAGAGGTCTGAAAGGCTGAAAAATGCCAGAACTGGAGTAATTTGTACTACACAGAGGTTTTACAACTTTTGCAGTGGGACAGGGGCAAGTTCTGAAGGTTTCCTCTGAAGTAACAGAGCAAGTAAGCCAGCCATGGCTGGGACAATCACCAGGAATGTGGGATAGTTGGGGATGGGATCTTGCTCTGCCCTCTCCAACATGCCCATAAGTGCCCCAACTCCAGAGGCATTACTCCTCCCTACTGCAGCTGCTCCTCTTTCCATAAATAATTCAATATTCATTGAGGCAGGGACCTGAACCTCAGTTTCCCACATCCTGTGTGAACGCCTGAACAACGGCACTGTCAAATCAATCTCTTGCAAAACGCTCTCCTCTCTCAGCAAGTGTTTAAGTATTTATGCAGGTTAGATACACTCCAGCAGGGAAAACTGTGAAACACTTGCCCTGGGCTAGAAAGATCCCTTTGGATGTGCCTTTGCTGGAGCAAAGGAGGGACAGGAGACTCAGGATGAAGTTCCCTGCCTAATCCAGGTGTTTAGAGGTAAACCTACGTGTTATACACAAGGAAAATAGACTCTTTCACGCTGCTTTTTATCAAGGTTTTTTCCTCCTGGACCCAGGATTCTGCATCCCCAGAGTTTTCACTGAATGAAAACATTGCCAAGAAAGGTTTCTTTTTGCCATGGTGATATTTTATAGCAGAAATTTTGCTGAAAATTCCTTAACAAACAACACAAACTGGGGCTTACTGTAGCCTGGCACACTGGTTAACTAAACAGCAAGCAGCACACACAGACAACCACCTTCTGCACAAACCTTCTGCAGGGAATAGAAATACTTCCTTTATCGGGGAAGGTGCAGGGAGAGGATCCCAGTTTTTATCTGCTGGATTTCATATCTGTGCTGGGAAGAAGATCAGGGCTTAAGAGCTAAAGCTGTGTTTGCAGACAGAGTTACCAAACCCAGACTGGGTGTCTCCTGAAAAACAAACCCACTGGGAGTCAGCCCAATTCTATCAGGGACTGGGTTAAATTTCCACCTTTGCTTGTAATGACCTCATTTGCAAAGCTGGATGCTGCTTCTCTGACCCCTTCAGAGAGTCATGGAATGGTTTGGGTTGGAAGGAACCTTAAAGATCAGCCTGCTTCAACCCCCCTGCCAGAGCAGGGATCCCTTCCACTATCCCAGCTTTCTCAGAGCCCCATCCAAGCTGGGCAGCCATAGCTTCTCTGGGCAACCTGTGCGAGGGCTTCACCACCCTCACAGGGAAGAATTTCTTCCTCATATCCAATGTAAACGTGCTCTCTGTCAGTGTGAAGCTATTCCCATACAGCTCTGCCATTGCCATTGTAAATTGTCTGGGAGGAAGAAAGGGAAGTGAGGAAATTAAAAGGATGTATTAGTGAAAGAAGATATTAGTGAAATACACACTACTAACACAGAGGGATGACAGAAAAGAAAGAAACCTTTTAGCAAAGAGAGTAACTCTTTTATAGCTTTTCCCATAGAAGACAGTGAAAGTTAAACCCACTTCGGCAGCAGCACAGAGCGTGTTCCAATATTTTGGCCATGTCTCAGATGGATCCCACACCTGGACTCCTCACTGCGAATCGTGGAGACCCTGTTGGCACCAAGCAGACACTGCAAGAAAAATGCAGGATTACCCTTGTTATGGGTTGATTGCAAAGCTTGAGGGTGCTTCTCTGAGGGCAAGATTGCCCTCTACTCCAGGCTGGAGTCTCCACTCTTTATAGGAGCAGGCACCAGACATGCCCTTGGAGACAACTCAGTTCATACAACACTGCCTTGGGTTTCCTGCTTGGAGATTCAAAGCCCTCAAAGTAATGCTTTGCACAGCCTGATATTTGACATGCCTGGAGATGGCAGGAGAGGGCACCTGTTGGATACGTGATATAACTCTGAGAAGGAGGAAGGAAGGGATGCTGAGAGTGCAAACCAAGCTGATGGAAACACAAAGGGGGAGCCAGAAGACAGTGGAGGAGGGTCTGCAGCAGGATGGGGTATGGAGGAAAGTGAATTTGGGTAAATAAAAACACTATGAAGTGGAAGGGAAGGGCTGAGGTTGAAAACAGATTGAGAGAGAAGGGAGCAGATAAGAGAGGGAGCATGCAGAGCCTCTCTTTGTATGGTTAAATGAAGAGCCTGGGACCCAGAGAAAGACCACAAAGATAAATCCAGGGTGTGCAAAGGAAAGATGGCAATGTTGAAGAATGTGGGGCAGGGGGGGTTGCAGGGATGGGGTGGATACTACTGTGTCAGTCACAGCACTTTTATTTCCATGAGAGTGTAAAAATCCTAAGAGATAGGAGATCCATCATTTCCCTGCTGTAGGGAAATGCCGTTGAAACCTCCTGCTAAGGTGCTTGGCATATTCACCAGGTAGGCATTGGTGCTAGGAGATGAATACCTTCAGGCTGCCTTGTTCCCAGGGAGAGGGTATTCAGGGGTGGGTACAGGAGGAGTGATTCAGCACAAATAAATTAGATCCCTGGTTCAATTTAACCACTGGAGAATATGCTCCCTGTGTGGGGAAGCAGCATCCTAGTATAACACAGAACTACAAAGCCCCCCTTCCCTGCTGTAACACAATCCATCTCGTACTCACTGGGTTATCTGTTACAGCTGCTTGTTAGTGGTGGTTAGTTCTTTTATTGGCATTAACTGCTCTGTGTAAACAAGACATGTAAACCAGAAGCAAGAACAAAAGTCTTCCTAACCCAGCCTCTTAATGTAAAACTGCTGCACGTGCTCTTGCTCCCACTGGTGCCAGTGATAACATTCTTGCTGATTTTAGTGGCAGCAGACTCCAGGCTTACTAAAAGTAACCTCCACAAACAGCATTTTCAGAGAACATTTTTTCTCTTCTCCTCCCCACCCCCAAAGTCGTTGTTTTTCTTCAAGAACAAATACACAAAGTCATTGGGAAAAAATGCTGTGACAGTGTTTCAGAAGTTCAGTCTCCAGAAGGGTGGGTAAAATACATTTCCTGTGAGTCTCAGGCTACATGTTACCTTTAGAGAAAGCTGCAGGAGTAGGTACAGCTCTCCCAGGACCCAGAGGTTTTTTGTTTATAAAATTAGTTTTAACTCAAAGGTGCCTTTGAGCCCCTGCTCTGAAATTCTCCTGCAGATGGGACAAACCTGGAAGCTCAGCAGGTAGGAGGCACCTGATTGGGTGTGGTCTGCACCATAAAACCCCCATGGCTTCAGGTGGGGGGACCTTGTGGCAGGAGCTTCAGAGACTCTCTTCAAACAGGCTGTAAGGGTTGAGAGGGCAGCACTTCATTAATTCAGCACTGCAGTTTTCTGCACATTTTTTTTTATACACTGCTAATAATCTGCTAACAAAAATTCAATTTCACCTCGGAGGTTTTAATGCTGTCAGGCTCTACACCCACTTTTGCCAAAAGAAAAATTAATTATGGCTTTTTATGTTGAACTTGCATCCTCAGAAAGCAACACAGTAGCTCCCCTTTCCCTGTGGAATATTCTGCCCTTCACAATCCAGTTTCTCTCTGACCAGCATGGTCAAAGGTTGCACTAGATAAAGGTTGGACTCAATGACCTTGTAAGTCTTTTCCACCTAATTGATTCTGTGATTCTGTGGCTTATGATATTTTCTGTGTTTTTAATGCCTAATAATCCTGTCTGATGGTAGAAATTGTGGATCTTTTGGCATTCAAAGAGGTTGCAAGGCAGATGGGCTCCTTGTATTCATATGGAAAACTTGACTTGGGCTCCCTCATCATCCATGGCTTTTCATTTGGGTTTTTTTTTTGGGACATAACAACACACCTTTGGAGAATCGAGGCACTCAGGGCTGGAATGAGTGGAAGGGAAACATTTGTAGCAGGCTGGCTACAGCATGGCCAGGGTAGTGGCAGAGATACACCAAGTCATATTAGATCTTAATTCTTCATATTTCATACTGCACTGGAGAGGAATATGGGGGGAGAAAGGGAATTCATTATCCCTCTCCCCTGTAACCCCACTACAAATCTACCCCTGCGTGTAAAGGTTACATCTTTTCATGAGGCACTGCAGGAAAGTGGAATATGACAGAAAAAGATTTCTGGTGCATGGGACGGAGCTGCCTTAGGCAGTGTTAACTTGTCTTACTGACATTTAAATGGCCTAAATCAAGATGACAGAGATGTTAGTGGCATGATGTGAAGAATTGTTCTGTAGAGGAATGCGTTGTTCTTTAGAACAATTTATATTCAGCACAGAGAATTAAGCATAAGTGGGTTTAACATGAGGCTCACATGTCATCATTTTCCAGCTCTTATTATCTGTGGTGTGACTAATGCAGGATTACTCTTCATCTGTGCTCATGACTAACTTATCCCTGTCCTGTATCCTGCTGCAGAGCCTTGTTCCAAATTGCCCCTCAGAACCTTGACTGCTGCTCTATCTTCCACAGAAACAAAGTGCCCAGGAGTGTGTCCAATCTCTCCTTTCTCATCCTGGGACAGCGTTTGGGCATTTCCCAGAGAAGGGGAGACCACAGATTCCCTTACTGGGGAAATCCAGCTGAGGAGGAGCACTGCCTGCTGGCCTGCTCTTCTCCACCATTCTCTACCCTGTGAGGGAGGGGATTCTGCCCCTCTCTGCTCAGCCTCCCCTGCAGGGCTGCCTCCAGCCCTGGGATCCCAGCACAGGAAGCACAGGGAGCTGCTGGAGCCAGGCCAGAGCAGGGACACCAAGGGGATCAGAGGGATGGAGCAGCTCTGCTGGGAGGAAAGGCTGAGGGAATTGGGATTGTTCAGCCTGGAGAAGAGAAGGCTTTGGGGTGACCTCCTTGTGGCCTTCCAGTGCCTGAAGGGAGCCCAAAAAAGATGGAGAGAGACTCTTGACAAGGGTCTGGAGTGACAGGACAAGGGGGAATGGCTTCACAGTGTCAGAGAGCAGGTTTAGATTGGATATTGGGAAGAAATTCTTCCC